CCTCAGTTGTGCCAAGTTTATCAGCCATCTCTCTATAACCAAAAATGGGGATTAAAGACGGCAAATTTTACCAGAAAACTACCTGTGACATCGGTATGGATGTCTAGTTGTAGCATGTTGTGATCTGAGTCCAGTGTACTGAGTATTTCACCTAAGGTATGATAGTGAGAGGCGAGTCAGAGGAGAACACCCGTTGAACTATGCTTCAGTTTACTTACTAGCTGCTGGCAATGATTTCTTTCCCATTGGCGCAGGAACCTAGGGCACCGAAGAACAAAAGTTTACCCAAAGTGCAGATACCACTACAATGTGGCGACAGCAAGAACAAGGAACACAAGGTAGACATTCTGGTTGGTAAATTGCTTTCCTGATGAGACCGTGATTACTGAGATGCTTGCCTTTGCTTCGACGCCATTCAATATCATTGCTCGTGTTAATAAGGACGAAGACAACGACAGGAAGGGAATCGACCATAAAACCAAAATACACTAAACAAACTTCTGGAATTAAGGCACACATATCCTATAACAACGGGTGGTCGGGAAAGTTTAGCCAAGTCATGAAGACAAAGCGCCATCACAGACATCTACCTCGTAACTTTTTCAAGTCATACAAAATTTAACCTCGCAAATCCGTCGGCAAATCAGTACGTTCTCTAAACAGATAGTGGAGCTAGGAGGGCTTCGGTAGACACTCTACCGGTTCATGTTGCAAACCGTGTCCTGTAATGTCTCGCACAAGTATAACCTAGGTCATCTGAACAGCGGTTGTATACATGTTGAGAAGCACTGCTTTATACGACTTGTCGGATGATTTGGTAGGAATATCTAAAAATATAAGCAAAAAGTTAGCACTTTTATTGGCAAAGCCGTTTTCGTCTTCTTACGGCGTTGTTCATATTACTAAGGGGAGCTGACTGCTTTAAATTTTTCAAACAACGAATCATCGCTGAAACTGTGAAATCGCTTCATCTTCTAGTCAACCTCAGGTGCAAAATTTTGCTTGCGTGTTCGGAGATTTCACGAAATTTACTCTCCTGCGTAGACATCCTCGCTCAGTTCTCACATTGTTGGGTTGAAATAGACCCATGCCATCTGTGGCTAACAGAAGCATGATATCCGCTCATCTGGAGACGGCCGAGTCAAAACGTGTGAGTTTCCTGGAAACTCATGCAAGCTTACTACCAGTGATACAGGATCTATCTTTGTGTGGTCCGATTGTGTTTGCTAACTTTTGTAAATCCACCCACGACCGTATAAGGAGAAACCGGAATAATCCGTTGGAGAATTCACTGAAAAACCACCAAAAAGAGAAGCCAATCATTCGGGATCCTAGTAAGTACGTGCCGAATTTACCAGACATGCAACTTGTTACGTTACGGTTAGAGGAAGTCACAGGGCTTGATTACAAAGTTCCCCTAGAAGGCTGAACGGGCTGTTCATAGCAACCCAATTTGTGTTGGAGGTGAAAGAAAAACACAAGTATACTTGTGTAATCGTTCATAACTGGAGACTGGAGTTTTTCTGTGTTGCAGAACATTTGTTACTACCACTTGTTACATACCCCTCACACGTCCCGTGGTTCTTTGAGATCGATAAATTCAAATTAGCCCTCAGCCGTGATTGGAACTGTACTTAGAGTGTTTTCATACCCACGCCGGCCCGTGTAGTGTTCCGCAAATATACCTCCTGTCCGGTGTGTTGTGTTTTTGACTCGTGGTGCGCAATCTAAGAAGTCGAACGCCTGGGGACACAACAGATTTTCTGGCGACGGAGGTGTTGAAAATCATGACTATTTCATTCGAACAGATGCAGTCCCTCCTCCAGCAGCAGCAGTTACATTTTGAAAAGTCTCAACGGCAGTTAATTGAGTTGTTATCAGAAAAACTGCACATCCAGGTGGATTGGAAACCGGAACCCAGGTTGACATCACATGAAATTGAATCTGAATGCCATTGGCTGCTCAATTCGAACAATGACACAAAAATGATTGAAGTTTCAGATTCCAGAACAGAATCCCAATCCTGTCATACAGTTATTCGTGGCCAACATTTGAGCTGTGATGTGCCGGACCGGAAGCCGCCGACAGCATTTTGGAACGGTGGTGAGAGGCAACCAATGCGAGATTGCGCCTACAAAATTCCTCACTCTCAAGAAGCAAGTAACTTCAGGCGCGTGCGTACTCCAAGGGTGCAGGCATGCTTGAAACTGAAAAGGACCAGATTCCACGATGTAGCAATATTTGCAGGGAAGAGAACACGCTTGACAATGAAACGCAATTATGTTCCCTTGTCCCTACAGCCAAAAACTGCGTCTGCTATTACGTTCGTTTCCCAATCGATAAGGACAACAATTGAAAAGAAGTCGGTCAAATTAACCAAACTTATGGCCCAAAGTACACCAAGGGTACTCTTACAGTCTGAGAGAGTAATCGCCTGTGAACGAAGACACACTGAAATGCAACGTCGGGAAAGCATTTACCTAAGAAGACGTTCGGATATTAATCTGTCCAAAGTGGAAGGAATTCAGAAGTTATACTTGCTCAATGCGTCAACGAATCATGTCATGTCTTACACTAAAGGGGATAGATGTCCCGAATACTCCTGTGCTGACAACGTACTAGAACGAACGACACTGCACACTAGGTCTGAGCTCGAACCACCTTGGTGTTGGGTGCATGTGGACTCAGGTGGGTCCGCTTGTCCGAAAGAGTTACGTGAACCCCAGGTAACCCGCATTTTTAAGAGAGAGAGGTGTCGGAGGTGAGAGGAAAACACAGGTATACTTGTGTACCCGTTTATAACTGGAGACTAGAGCTTTTCTGTGTTGCAAAACGTTTGTTACCTATCGCTTGTAAACTTGACAAAAAAGCATTTCTTGTTGCGCTTTTCTTATTATTCATATTGTTTCCTATTCAGCCATGATTCCGATGGCACAATATCTGTACCACAGATTGTGTATAATATATATATATATATATATATAATATATATATATATATATATATATATATATATATATATATATATATATATATACCCCTCACACGTCCCGTGGTTCTTTGAGATCGATAAATTCAAATTAGCCCTCAGCCATGATTGGAACTGGACTTTGAGTGTTTTCATACCCAAGCCGGCCCGTGTAGTGTTCCGCAAATATACCTCCTGTCCGGTGCGTTGTCTTTTTGACTCGTGGGGCGCAATCTAAGAAGTCGAACGCCTGGGGACACTAGTTAAGAAGTTTCAACCATCCAGTCCTAACATCGTTGTTTTGTTTAGAAGCAATTTGCCTGATATCGCCTATGAACTTAATAGTGTGCCCGTGAGTTAAAAGTGCGCGCTTGCAATCCGACACCTACAGTGCTACGCGAACGACGGATAAAGGTTCTAGAGTGGTTGTCATGAAGAAAGCCGAGTGCGCTTAGAAAAGGAATGTCTTACTTAACGGCACGAGTAAACTTGAAGACTTAAGAAGGTGGGGAACGTAGTCGACGTTGAAGCCCGCAAAGCAGCCTACCTTTGCTTCGTCTCCATCGTGTGATGGATAGTGACATCTATGGCCTTTTGAAGCCAAGTATCAGCACTATTCCACAGCTGCATGGGTCACCGAATACGCACAAGAGCGGAGTGTAAATCAGACCAATTCTATCAACAATAAATGCGCTGCAGCACAATTCGCTCGATGGCTAGTGAAGCTCCTTTCAATGCTGCGATATATGTCCAATCCCTACGGTCTTAAGGATTCCTTTTAACTTATCAATGATTTGGATAATATCAACCTATCCGATAAAGTTCTGCGTTCATTGAACGCGGAATGTCTGTTCACTAACGTTCCGCTACCCCAGATAGTTGATGGCATCTGCGAACTAGCTCAGCAATCTGGTTATTCGTTATCAATTCCAGTCGAACTTCTAAAAGAATCATTGCTGTTGTGTATTGAAAAGGTCAGCTTCCACTTACAGAATACGCTATGCCGTCAAATCGATGGTGACAATAGGTAGCCTACTAGGCCCTGTACTCGCCGATTTCTTTATTCTGAGGATAGAAAGAGGCATAGCAACAGAAATAGCCAAGCTGACATACTATAAGCGCTAGGTGGATGATATTGTGGCCATTTTTTCCTCGGAGCAGCAGATGGTGCACTTGGTGGAGCAGCTTAACGGCGCACATGCCAACTTGCAGGTCACTTGGGAGGTGGAACAGAAGAAGTGTACGTTGAGTAGCCCTTCTGGAAGTAAGAAGACCGATCCGGGATCACGAAATTATTAAGAGTACATTTGTATATTTATGGAGTATATAGACTGTTGGCAACAGACCGCTTCACTGGTCATATTTGTTATTTGCATTCTGTCGCTGACTCCATTTTCATTGGTTTATACTTGCTCGTCACGTTCATTTTGTCTAAAATTACCTTCCTTTTCTCGATGTACGATAGACTCGATTGGGCACTCGTCCATTGGGCCGCGTGCTTCTTCCCTCAGTCCATTATCACAAATCTTGGCTCAACTGCGCACCAAGTAGCTCCGCACGAGTATGTACCTCTTCGCCTGTGCCTTTGGAATCTGCTGGCGCCTGATTGGTCACTTGCACGTTCAGTGGATGATTGCTGAGTGCGCTCGACACGGGTGCGCGCCAACAATTTTCCGCTTGGCTGACCAATCTGCTTCCGACGACATGCTCACTCTCCATCGGGCTGGACTGCATCTGTCTGGTACTGCGCGAGATGCCTGGTGGCGTTCGATTGACCATCGGCTTATCGGTACCACAGCATTTCCAGTCACTAGCATTTCCAGCCCCCCAACCACACTGTCTACCATGCTTGGACATCGTTATCAGTCACAGGGATGACGGACTATTTGAGTGGCCTGTCTACAGAAAATCAACATATTCCGGTCAATACCTGCACTCCACCAGCTTCACATCAGCACGGTACAAACGGACACTTTTGAAAGCTTTAGTTAGACATATATCGAAGACCGGCCAGAAGAAGAAAACCACCAAGACAACTGATTGATGTGAAACCAAAGAAAGCTG